GGTCATAGGTTGTACTTGATGATCTCAGAGGTCTTTTCCAACCTAATTGATTCTGTAATTCTGTGAAGAGGGTAAATCAGTGCAGTAAGTGAAAGGCTGGGAAAGGTTTCCAGAAATGTCGGTTTTCACCTTTATGCAGCTGAGCAACATTATTTTTTTTCCCTCTAATTTGCTACTTTGCCTCTGAAGAAGCCACTTTCTTCAGCTTTGTTTGGCTTCTGAGGAGTCTGTTTTGGGATACCTGGTGTTGAAGGGCATCATAGCATCAGATTCAGAAATGGGACAAATCTGTCAGTTTCTGTAAGAGAAGCAGTTTCTATCCCTTGTATCAGGAGTAGACACCCCTATGAACACAGCTTGCAGCGTACAGTCCAAGCAAGGAAGACACTTGGAGTTAGCTTTGCCAGTTCACCTTGTTCCCAGTGTGCGTTAAGGAGGAGTGCAACAGCCTGCTTGTATCTTTATGTCAGGGCACATGATTTCAAGATAAGCATCCTTACCCTCAGCCTTCTGCCTGCACTTTGTCTTTTAATACTGGAGAGGTGGGGGTGTTCCTTCTACCATTCAGCCTCCCTCCACTGTATAATCCTCATCCCTTTTCCAGAGCAGGGCTGTGCAAGCAGGAACATTTCTTGCCTTTTTCCTGCATTGTCTGTCACAGGTAGGTATTATGGGTCATAGGCTGACCTGCTGTGTGATTGCAGAGCATTCAGCAGTAAGAGGGGTCAGTTGAGGCATCTGCAGTGCACCTCATTGGTGATGAGAACAAGGTGGTTTCTTTCAAAAGTGTCTTGCAGAGGTGTTTCTAGGAAGATGCATCTGTGGGATGGTGTATTTTTAGAGAGTTTTACTGTGTCCCTCAGGTATGTGTGTAGTGCTCCATTTGCTGCAGCATAGAAGGGACCATGGAGTTACCTATAGTTCCATCTCCTCACTGTTTTCCATTTGTTAGCAAACCTCTGAAGTCACAGCATGAATGCTGATTCCACTTGATTTAATCAGGAGCTGCTCTTAACTCCAGCAGCTGTTTTGTGTAGGAAATGTTTCGAGAGAGAAGAAATTTGCTTCCTAGACTTAGCCAGTGAAAACAAGTGTGAGTTGCTGCAAATGGGCACAGCATCGTAGAAGTTAGTGCTGTTTCTCACAATGAGAACTGGATCCTTGCATCTTCTTTCTGCAGTGCTCCCTCAAATATCATTACTGGAGTCAGGATACATCAGTGTGTGTGTATATGTATTTTTTTTCATAGTGGTAGCCGCTTTATGCCAGTGAAGGGTCACTGTGAAGTCATGCCGTTTTTTTCAGGCTATCTCCAGTTCAGTCTGACATCCAAGTAGCTGCATGCTGATGTTAGCAGCAAATAGGCTCTGAATATCCAATAGAGCTTAAAATAGTGGAAGGGACACAAAATGTTGCAGGGAGCTGTTGGATACAATAAAATTATAGCAATAATAATGTGAGTATCCCCTCTATGCATGTGTGTGGAGTGCAGCCAGCTGTCTGGGTTTGATCTCTCTGCTGGGGTCTGCTGTAGAAGTGCCCCCACAGCAGAAGTTGCTGTTTGGCACGGGGAGAAGAGCACCTTCACAGCTGGGGAGCAGGAGGCTCACAAAGGTGTGTGTGAGGGATGCCCTGCAGTCCTCACACATGTTATGTCAGGCAGAGCCCAGCTATCTTGGTCATAAAACACCCCAAAAGTAGAAATTAGCAGTACTGCTGTCAGCACAGCACAGGAAGAAGGGAAGCTGTGCAAAGGACCACCACTTCTGTCCTTGGTGTTTTGTGTCTGAAGGAGCTCTTGCTGCAGCCTGGGGTGTTTTTTCCATCTCTGCTGTAAGTGATGGGTCATGGCATTGCTCCCTGAGCCCTCGGAGCCGTGCTTGGTGTCTTTGCCCTGGCAGCCAGGAGGAATCCTTGCCAGCCAGGTGGCAAACACAGCCTGTGATCTCACTGCACGACTGCTCCTGTGGTCTGGGTGTAGCTGTTCAGTACCAGCACAGTTATATACTGGTTTTGGGGTTCAGCTCAGAGCTTGCAGCACTCCAGATAAGGGCACGTGGGGAGCCTTAGTGCTGGCTTTGTACTGTGACAGTGTTCCTGAAGCCAGGCTTATTAGCCAGCTCTGAGGCAGAATCTCCAGGTATAGCTCTTATAGTAAAACAATAACAGTCACTTCTTCCTGAGCCAAGAAGAAAAGGCCTGTGCATTGCTTTTGAGAAATGTAGGATGAAAAAAAATAAAATAGTTGTATTTATTTTCAATAACTCATTCAGGTAGAATGGCTAAGTAGTTTTACAGTGCTGATTTATGGTCTGCTGCAAAATGCAAGAGCTGCTCATCATTGCAAATTTCATTGATCCTGACTCTAAGAATTTCAGTATTGTAATGTTTTATTTAGTTTTCTCCCTCCCCAGTCCTGCCATTTGAAATAATAAGGACAGTTTGCCTTTATGCAGCCCAAGAGAAGATAGCAAAGTCAGGTGCCAGGAAGAGCACCCAGGTGTCCTGATTTACAGACCCAGGTTTGCTCCTTCCAGAGGGAGAGCCTTTCTTTGCAAACAAAAAAGCCCCCTCTCCATGAGTAGCAATCCATGCTTTATCATGCAGTTAGCAGACAGTCTCTGCGGGCTCATTTGTGTCATTACCACTGTATGGACACTTGCCCATACCTAATCCAGTAGCTTGACCCCACCAGCATAAAGCAGCATACTGGTTCCAGTTGGCCTTGATCATGGCGGTGACTGGTGACCATACACCTTCCCGTGGTATAAGGCTTCCAACAGTGGTTTGGTCTGTCAGAATGAGCCTTGGCTTTGGCTGTGGTAGCAGCCATAATGTGTGATGCTGTCTCGGTTTAACTACAAGATGTTTGGGAGGTGAGACCTCTAATGAGAGGTCGGTCCCTGGCGAAGAGGCTCCAAAGGTCAGCAGTGCTCCAGTGAGCAAAATCCCAGGTACCAAGAGAGGGTGAGTTCTGGGGCACACCTGTTTTTATCTTGTCTCCCAAGTTCCCAGAATGCTTCCCTTCAGGGACCCACCTTTTCAGCAGGTCCCAAGATGCTGGGGACAGTCTTTCCCTGATTCAGCTCGGATGGGGGGGTGGGCAGTCCCTCACGCTCTAAATTACGTGATGATATGAAAAAAAACCCCTAAAAATCTTTCCCGTTTAACTAAAACTACAACAGATACTGTGTGGTTGTGAAAGATCTGTGGTTTTTAGATAATAAGCTATGGCACTTTCCAGCCACTTGGTTTTGGGGTTCCTACAGGCAAATATTTGTGTTCTGGGTAGCTTCACTGCCTCTTCCTAGCCCAATTCGTTCTCTTCCTCCAGAAGTAGCACTCTGTCATACGGGTGTTCAGAATACCACAGGAGGAGCAGTGCAGCTTGCATTTACATTTATGTGCAAACCCGCCAGAAAACATTTCTATTCTTACTGGCCCAGATTCCTCCTCCCCATGAGTAACCATTGCTGAGCCACAGGAGTTAGCATTGCTGCCTTTAAGTGCTGCGGGCCTATCTTCTCAAAGGTTTATCACTTTGGTTTTTTTAATTAAGTATGATTTTGGGGCCAAGCTACATCCCACTGTCTACTTAAGGAAGAATAAATGCCAGAAATCCTGCTTTGGGTCTGTGAAGTCAGTTCAGAAGAATTTGGCTCAAAGAGCATATTGTATTCTGTTTTTCCTTTTGGTCTGAGTTCTTCTAATATCTGCAAATGGGAGAGGCTTTGCAGTGTCGTCTCTGGTAAGCCTGTGATGTGCTGAGACACTCCTCCCAGGGACTGCTGCAGGCAGCACACCCCTCTCCTGTTTGACTCATTTTGGGTTCTCAGACGTCAGGCTGCCCTAGCAAATGCCTCCCAGCAGCTACAAGAGATGCACTGGGAAGTGTGCCATACTGTGCTCTGCCTCGTCAGTGTGGGGAGACAGGAGATGCACTGACAGCAGCTTCTCCGTGTGTCTCGGTTGGTGCCGACAGTGCAGGTTGCTCTCAGGTTTGCTGACACCCTGGTACTGTGCTTTGCTTGCACTGACTCCCTTCCTGACTGGACATCCTGATGGGTAGGAGGAACTGAATGGAAAAGACTACCCAGAAGGAAGTTGGGTTTGAACTGTGCTTTTGTCCTGAAACTATTTGCTAATTAGAAGAATGAATTCTTTAAAGAAATAATTAAAAAAAAGGCACTGTACAGCTTTTTCTCATGTTGGCCAATTTCTGTGTCAGTCCAAGTCTGCTGTGAGCCACACTGAGCCTGTTGAACTGTGCTTGGGGAATTGCACCTGGGCGTTGCCTGGGAATTCTCAAGAGAACCTGCTGCTGCATCCTCCATACTGTCTCTTTTGCCCCTCAGCCTCCCTTCTTAAACTTCACTATAAACAGTTGCTCTGTATCACTTATTAGTGCTTGTACTCTTTATGTTACCATAGTGTGCACAGGGGTCACATGGATCCATCAAAGAAAAGACAGTTCTTGCTCTTGGAACCCACAGTCCAGCTTCTTCTGTCAGGGGTGGTGACCCATAGCTCTAGGGGAGGGTTGATGTTTGTGTTGGGTTTTTTACTCCCCCCCCCTCTTATTTTAACACATCTATTTCCATCTTCCCTACCGTTGTATATGGATGCACACACACCTCTGGCATTGCTTTCATCTAAACCTTATCTTCCCACATAAAACTTTTGTGTTACATTTTCTTGAAACTCTCTAGGAAGCCTGGTTTTGTGCAGGAATGTCCTATTCTGTTGTCCTGATGAGAGATAAATAGCTTGGAAGAAGTGTAGGAGGTGTACAAATGAAAGCAGAGATTTGCTGGTTCTCCAGAAATGAACACAGTGTTCTTGCTCTGCTTTAGAAAAACCCAGTTTGCTTTCACTGAAAACACTATGTTTTTATCTCTGACTTTAATGGAGACAGGACCGAGTGCTGTGGGGAGCATGGGCAGAACAGTTTTTGTCCTGCAGGCTCGCAAGCTAAGGCACCTTGTTCTTCCTGGCTGCAGAACGCTGCGATGACTGGGGTGTGGATACCATGAAGCAGATCCAGATTTATGATGGGGAACCTGCCAAGATCAAATGCCCACTTTTTGAGACCTTCTTGAAGTACAACTATAGCACAGCCCATTCTGCTGGCTTAACCCTGATCTGGTACAGGATCGCGCAGGACCGGGATCTGGAGGAACCCATTAATTATCGTCTCCCGGACAATCACATCAGTAAGGATAAAGACACCCTTTGGTTCTGGCCTGCTCTCCTCAATGACACTGGGAATTATACCTGCATGCTCAGGTAAGTTGTGTGGTGCAGCTCCTGTCTTCAGTGCAATCGAAGGACTTCTGTGGAGGTGGGGAAATTAGGCTGTTAGCACCAGATCTTTCTGTAGGGAGACGACCATTTGTATAAGCATTAATGGGAAAAGAATGTTACAATTATAAGACCGCTCAGTGCTGAGCCAATTTACATTGCAATAATGCTTGGAGCCTTGCAAGCGTTAATGAGTGTGCCCCTCCTTGCTTTTGCTGCAAGTGTCCGTGAAAATATTATTGCTGAGCCCATGGCAAAATCCACAGGCGCTCACCATTAAGAAGTGATCTGTATGTCTAGAGTAAAAATAGCTTCAGATGCAGGGGTAATGTTTTGACTGCACACTAATTTGGCAAAGATTCATGAGATTCAGACTTCTAGGAAATTAAAAGTGTCTCTGAGTATGGTACAAAATGAACATAGCATCTGCTATGCACAAGAGCTCTTTTTGATCTTACGTTGTCTCTTGTCTGTGTCTTTGACCCTATGATCTGCTTTACCAGCAGGGGAGTGGATGTTGCTTGTTAGTCATCTTTAAAGGCTTTTCTAAGCTTGTGTGGCCACCTTTGATGGGGCTTTCTTTCCCATTTATAAATGAGTCAGCTAAGGCTGTATCTACCACACCAGCGCTATGATGCTCTTTATTGCAGATGTAATTTTTATATCATTCCACTGCTGTAGGAGTAAACAAGTTTCAACTAATCAGTCTTATTCTTATCTGTCCTTAGAAATACAACCTACTGCAGCAAAGTTGCGTTTCCCTTGGAGGTTGTTCCGAAAGACCAGGACTCTTGTGTGAGCCGTTCGATAAAACCCACTGAGGAGATGTTCTACTTGGAGCATGCCAATCAGAAGATCATATGTCCAGATATTGATGGGTTTTACCCTGCCAGTGTAACACCAACTGTCAAGTGGTACTTGGTAAGAAAGACTTATGTGGGCAGTGGTGGAATGCAGTGTTGTGTGTGAAAAAGCAGTGGTCTACATAAGAGTCATGGAGCTGGGTTTGAGAGTCTTCCCAGTGATGCTGCTGCAAATGAAACTTTACTAATTTTAAGAGCTTTGTTTCCATTGAGTTCGAGGGTAAAACTGCTCTTGGAAGGGAATTGAGAGCTAATGCTGAAGCTTTTTTGACTGGAGTGCACAAGTGGAGAATACTGTAGCAGGGATTTAGGAGCCTCAGTTCAGTTATGGGCAGTATGCCTGACCTGCTGTTTGAGCCTCTTACTATCCCTGTAAAGGAAATTATCATTCATATTCACTCTTTAAAAAACCCCCACCTGTTAATTAAAATCACACCCTTTCTAAAATCCTCTGAGGTCAGAAAATGAGGCCTCTGCAAAGCCCATGGGTGACCCTGTTTGACACAACTCAGCAAACTTCTTTTCTGAAGATCAAGACATCTCTACTCCACCCTCCATACTTCTCTAGCCATCCTCAAGCTCTTGCCTACAGAATTACTGCTCAGTTTTATTAAATTTGACCTCACTGTTTTTCTCTAGGTTTAGTCAATAGAGAATAGGAATTCTCAGGGGAGTGAATTCTTTAATAAATGCTTAGAAAGTGCTTTTGGCTTTCTAGATAGAAGGTTCGGTATAAGTGAAATTAATAATAAAAGAATTTGTCAACAAATATATCTGCTAATTTAAAAAAAAAATAAAAAAAAGACCCAAAAGAAAACCCTTTAGAAAAAATTACTTTTGTATCCAAGAGGAGCAGTTTCACTCCAGTAGTTTAAATGCTTTACTTGTATCATTCATTGAAATTCACATCTCGGCAATCAATTAGCAGAATGAAACAAAAAGCCCCTTGGAAGTGATTTTTCAGACAGCGAGTCATCTCATGCCTAATAAAAATCATTAAAAATGGTATGTGACCCCTGTCTTAAACTGCCCCATTAGGATGTATCTGATTTGGAAATGTCCCATTCAGAAGTAATCTCTTAGAAAATGTGCACATCTTTGCGTTTTATGACAATCAAGATGTTATCTGCATAACCCCTTTCTGAAAAGGGATCTCTAGCTTGGTATTTGGCAGAGTTTTCCTGCCTTGCCTGACGGAAAGAGAGGAGTTATTAAGATTTCTGTACTGCGGATTCTCATTTGCCGTTTGCCAATTTTGGGGCCTCATCCTCAGCTGAAATCAGTCAGGGCAGCTTGATTAGTCCCAAAAGATGGACATCAATGGGGGGCACGTCCCTTAGTCTTAGTATCCATTTGTGAATACGTCATCATTTTCTTCCTGTCTGTTTTTACTTTTCACTCTGCTGAGGTGCTCACTTTAATTGCAAAGGTACTTCTGAATTAGAGATCTCTCTTTTATAAAACTGCCTGTGTTTAAGGTGGGATAAAACTATTAGGATCATCTGCTTCATCACTTCATTTTCAAGGTGAACATAGCAGTCTGTATTCCAGCATGCTCAAAATTCATGGTATATAGGTCTGATCTGCATCACAATCCCAAGTACCATATTCATAGTTGAAGATCAGATCTTTGTAGTAGCATTTAAACCAATGTCTTTTACTTTGGAATCCCAAACTCAAGTGTTTTTCTGCCTGACTCCAGAACTGCAACTCAGTGGATGGCTTCTCTGAGCGATATCCCCAAGGGCCCAGGCTTGTCATCGTCCTTGTCCGCAGTGCATATAAAGGGAATTACACTTGTATTGTGACATTCAAGGACCATGGAAGAACATATAATCTCACCAGAACCATAACGATGAAGGTGGTGGGTAAGAATGACTTTAAAATATGTAAAATGCATGTGGATAACTGCAGAAGTGGTAAAAACAGCTAGAGGAGTCTGTCGCAGGATCCATTTATGGTTGTGTTCAATCTGCATTACTCAACTGACCCGGTGTATTTTTTCTTGCTGAGATCAGCTTTATGTGACTTCCCAGAACATGTTGCACTAGAGGTCTTACCCACCACCATATCAAATGCCCCCAAACACAGAGAGTGGCCAGATATAGGCTGGTGAAGTTCAGCCCATGAGATGGCCAGGGGTACCCTCTGCTGGCATGTGAGTGCATAGCCCTGGCACTCCTGCTCATTGTTGTCTCCAGTGCCCTGTGCTCATCTTTCTTTGTAGGATTGTCCGTTTATAGCCAACTTGTCTTGATCTTCTTGGAGTCTCAAAACCTTGTGTGCTGAGGTTGGGACTGTTAATCACCCAGGCAGAGCTCCAGGTACCCACTGCTTGGACAGGTCTGTCCCAGGCACAAGGGCTCAGCCTACCTGCCAGGGAATTGTAGACAGAGCTTAAAAACCTAGTGAGCTGTAGGATGCATTCTGAGTCCCGTGGCAACAGCTGCTTTAAGAGCTGAATTAAATATTTGCAACAGGAAATGACGTTTGTATTTTGGTTCTTAAAAGCAGCAGTAAAAAGAAAGTGGTACAGGTTATGCCTTGTGGGAGAGGAGAGGGATATGGACGTCTTCGGATGTGAGAGGCCCAAACTAGCTTACCTAAACTTTGGAGAAGCCTCAAAATCTGTATCTGGCCCTCGGTTTGGGGACTAGAATTAGATCTCTCTGTGCGTGGAACTCTGCAGCAGGGCTGTATCACAAGTTAGTTTAGGGAATGCACAGTGGGGTGCGAGGGCATCATGAATGAAGCTGCAAGGATTCCAGGTTCTCATGAACTTTGGGTCCCTATGGGGGGCTCTCTGTTGTTTCCTGCAGGATCTCCAAACAAGGCCTTGCCACCGCAGTTCATCTCTCCAAATGAGAAAGTTGTGTACGAACTGGAAGCAGGTAAATTCCAACACTCACTGCCTGAAATTGCTGCCCTTACACCCTGCCTGTGGGTCAGGGAGAGCCAGCCAGGCACAGGAGCTCTCCCCTTCCACCACATCCCCAGTGCTTTCCCTCGCAGAGCACACAAGCTGCCACAAGTTACCTGGCAGACAGTGTGGGATGCCAGTTCCCGATGCCAGAATAGGGAAGCACAGCTTTAAAAGTTGACTTTTTTTCAAGCATAAATAAAGACAGATATTCAGGCATGGAGATGCAGGACTGCAGCTGCAGAAGCAGATGAAATGGGAACACTGAACTGCGTAGGAAAATTCTTGTAGGACCTTGTCTTGGCCCTGGCCCTGGCTGTGGTTTGCTCCCACCCTCCCTCTTGGATGGGAGGGTAGTGGCTTCAGCCTTCTATCCACTTCCTGCTCATCTTTCCCTTTTTGGCTGATTACTTCCTAATTAGTGACAACTCTCCTTCTGCTGGCCTCTCAGTGTTGGGTAATGGGGTACCACACCCCTTCCCCAACCCCTTCCCCCACTCCATCAGTTTCAACTCATAGCTCTTTGGAGCAATTCCCTATATTGAGTGGATTGTGTGCCATTATGCTGCTGTAATAAATGTGGTGCCAATGATGATGATTAGCCTCAGAATCTTCACTTTAAAGTACAGCTTTTAAGGCTGAGAAGGTCAGACTTCTTCAGTAATGACTTTATAAGAAAAAATCACTTATGTGGTGATCACAAAGATATTCACACTCCCAAGTCTGATCTTGAGCAGAAGTCAAATTCCTGAAGAAGAGTTGCCACATCAAAATGATTTTGTGGAGCTTGATCCTTTGCTTTTTGGCATCTGCCCCCTGTGCAGTGGGGATGATTAACACTGCCTGGCTTTCCAAGGAAGTGGTTGGCATGGAGCATCTCCCTTTGGGTGGGTCACTTTGTGAAGTCAAAGAATTTGTAACACATTTGAGAAGGCAGGATATTTTTTTCTGTTTATGCATCTGTCACAAATCATCATGTCCGAGATGTTAAAGTGTTACTAGATGTCAGAAAGTGGATGCCTCATTCCCTCCTGAAGGGAGGCAGAGCTCAGGCTGGTAGGATCCCTGGATAGCACAAAATAAGGGTGGCACTGTTCCTGTTTTGCAATACCTCACAGTTGGTCCTTTCTTTCTAGGAGATGACCTTATCCTGCCCTGTGAGGTTTTCTTCACCTTCCTGAAGGACTCCCGGACTGAGGTGTGGTGGACCATAGATGGAAAAAACACAGATGATATCACAGACCCCAAGATAAAAATCACACAAAGGTAACATAAAACGTGAACCTTCATTTGAATCTAATCCTTTCTTGGGTCCTGCAGAGGGGTGCGGCTATAGGCATGTGCCAAGGGAGTGTGGAGTCCTCTGCTTCCCTGTTAATCAGAAACCCCTGTGTCTACACCATACTGTGATGAGCACCAGGAACTCTAAGGAGAAGTTAGACAGTTTCATATATTACAGAAGGATTTGAGGGAGCTTTGTTATCCAGTTCACATCATCATGGGTGATGATCTTATGTTGTCTCTTGTCTGTGTCTTTGACCCTATGGTCTGCTTTACCAGCAGGGGAGTGGATATTGCTTGTTAGTCATCTTTAAAGGCTTTTCTGAGCTTGTGTGGCCACCTTTGATGGGGCTTTCTTTCCCATTTATAAATGAGTCAGCTAAGGCTGTATCTACCACATCAGCATTATGATGCTCCTTATTGCAGATGTAATTTTTATATCATTCCACTGCTATAGGAATAAACAAGTTTCAACTAATCAGTCTTATTCTTATCTGTCTTTAGAAATATAACCTTGTTCAGGTCCTGGTAGTGCTGCCAGTAACTGGTGCCATTGTGGGATTTCTGAAACAGGGGCAGACAATTATATTTAGAGGAATGTTCCAAAATAGCATAAGCGATAAAAATGTTTCAAGAAAACAGAGGCTGAAAAAAAATATAGTATTATGTGTAGTATTGATTAGGAGGAATAAGGATTCAGTTACATGAAGGACCCAAACGAGGATCAAAGTCCCATTTGCTGGATGCTGAATTACAACTGGAAGGAAGTCACTGCCCCAGTTGATTTGCAAACCAGTGTAGAAAAAGGAAAGGCAAAAGGAAATACTGTATCCCCATTTTGCAGATGGTCAGTTCAGGCAGAGAGAGACAAAGTGACTCATCCAGAATTGCATGGGGAATGTGACGTGAGCTCTGAATCTTGAGTTCCTGAGATCTTCTTGTTTTATAGGCAAGAACTTCCATTTTCTCTAAAAGGCAATGTGACACAGCTGCAATGAGAAAATTCTGAGTGGTAAAATAATTATTAAGGGAAATCAGATAAAGGAATGGCTGCAGCTGTATTAAAATCTGAAGTGTGTATTGATTTATAAATATCAGTTTATGTGTTTTGGTCTTTTTAAAGAAAGAGATTATATCAGGGAAAGGAATATCTTCCACTAAGAACTTGCTGCAGTTTCACGTATGTAATGCTCTAGTTTTTCTTTTACAGTGAAATTACTAGAGATTTTGAAGACAAAACTGTCATAAGGACTCTAACAGTTGCAAAGGCCACACCAGAGGAGTTAAAACGGAATTATACTTGCTATGCCAGGAATGCCAAAGGCGAGGACCAGAGCCAGGCCATAGTGCACATGAAAGGTAAAGTACTTGCAGAGCCTGGGTGTGAAGTGAGGTGTTCTTGGTGGGGGCTCTTGGTCCTGCCTTGAGCCTCGCCCTGCAAAACAGTAAGGGAACAAAGAATTCCATCAGGACTTTTTGCCTAACACAGTCTGTTCTGTACACACTGCTGCATCACTGCTGTCATCCTGCACTACTTCGAGATGGGGTACTGTGCTCAAGTGCCTGGGAGGAGAGAGGGGTGGATAGGTCTTCATTTCCTCCATGTACCACAACTGAAGTAGACCTGGAGGGGACAGGCTGATTGAAATGATTTCAGGTTACTTTGACTAGGTGAGGGTTTTGTGTGACACAACAGCTACCAGTTGCATCCTCGAGAAGGCACAGGGCACTCGCTGGCATTGCTCAGGGAACGAGATGGTCAAACCACGGTGCTCTGTGGTTTACTCCCTGCTGTGATGATGCTTCAGTCTAGATACAGCCACCTCAGCCTGGATGGTATGGACTGATTCAGCTCTGCTCAGTGTGGGTTTTTCCTACATCTTTTTTTCATCAAAGATTTTGTTCTGTTTCCCAGACCCACCTTTCAGTAATAAAGGCTATGTGAGGTTTCCTGATTAAGGCGGATCTTTCTGCCTCCTTATCAACCTCATCTAGGGCTTCAACACCTGCTTTTACTGTAAGTCAGACCTCCCCTCTCCCATAAGGAATGCGGCCCTGCCTTGTGTAGGTCATGTCAGACACCTTCTTCCCCCTACTCTGCCCTACAAGCATGGGAAGGTTCATACAGGTTTTTACTGGAAGATCTTTTTCTTCTTGATACTTGTCCTCCCTCTTTTTTTAGTCCCATTCCTTTGAGACAAACCTGTTCTGAATTGTTGGGAAGGAACAATATCAAACACATAAGTGAGAAAGGCCAAAACCATCTGCAAGTGTGTTCATACTCCATACATAATTCTTCTGGGGTGATAATATTTGTACATGTAGCAGAAGTGAATCTAAAATACTTGGATTCTTTCCCTGTATAACAGTGCCTAAATGCTGTTCTCTAGTGGACTCATCTGTACCATCCTCTCTCTTCCTCCCCCATCTGCTCCTGGGTAGTTGACTGGGTTTTCTCTGAGCAGATGTGGTTACCCACAACCCCTTCTTCCTGCTCTGTTCCACAGAAAAATCCAGGAACAATCCCTAGCTGCTGCTGGCAGAGTTAAGCTTACTGCAGCCCATCCTATTGTGCATAGGAACATTAAGAATGCCTGAACCTGACCCCTCAGCACTTATCTTCAAGTTTTTAGCAAGTGGCTATATATGTTGGCTCCAACTCTTTCATTACATTAGGTTACATACATTTCTTGCTTTTTCTGGATTATTTCCCTCTCCTTCTCATGTACTTCAGCTGCTCATCACTTAATGAAAGTTGATAAATTCTTTCCATTTTATTTTTTGTACTTCACTTTTATTAGAAACTTATTAAATATTGGAATTTGGTGGTGTTTCCACTCCCTGCTGTTCTTCCATTGTGCAGTTTGGCAGTGTGCATGTCAACTGCCACCTGGAGAGTTGCCCAGGGATACAGTAAGAAGAGTTATTTTCTGTCCTTAGTGCAAAAAAGCAGCAGCAGTGTGACAGTGTATGAGTTGGAGGGGGCCTGCAGTGTTCTGGCTTGATGTCCACAGGTTGTCCTATTTGTTTGCAAGCATTTCAACTTTTCTTTAATAAACTCTGATTCTTCTTTCCTGGTAGAAAACAATCAGGCCATGGCTAGTTATATCCTTGCTGTCAGTCTGGTACAAGCCACAAGACCTTTGTCTGTTTGATGGGGAGCGAAAATAGTAGCCATTGCCTTTAGTTTGCTGCAAATGAACCTTATCTGGCTGTCCTAGAAGTAAGTGTAGCTGTTGCCCCAAGAGTGTGTATACTGCTGAGAAGGTCATGTTCATGAGCTGGTTTTGGACTATGAAGGTTTTTTTCCATCAACAGGTCATTCTACCATCTGGCTGCTCCTGGGATCTTGCTCAGAGACAGAAATCCAGCCTGTGCTATGACTTGCTCTGCCAGCTCAACTAGACCTAATAACTGAGAATGGACACTCCAGGGTGGCCAGCTATCATGTGTCCTGCTAGAGAGCCTTGCCTTAGCCACTTTACTCTGAAGAGCCAGCTTGGCTCCTGGCTGCTCCTTTGTGATGTTTGGCTGCATGTGACACAAACTTGTTCCTGCCTAGCTGAAGGCCCAGTCTGTTTTTAACCCTGACCCTCTCTTTCTTTTTGGGCCCAGTTGTAGCACCGAAGTACACCGTGGAGCTGGCCTGTGGACTGGGGGCAACCATCCTTCTTGTCGTGGTGCTGATTGTCATCTATCACGTGTATTGGCTTGAAATGGTCCTCTTCTATCGGGCTCATTTTGGAACAGATGAAACCATTCTAGGTAAGATATTAAAGAGTTTACATTTATTTTATCCTGCTGCAGACCAGGCCCTTCATTTTCTTACAGGACTTTTCCTATAAGCTATTTTTAACCCTCTTCAGAGCATAATGACATTTTGACCTTCCATTTCTATACCTACATTCAATTGTGTGGGTCATTGTAGAGTCAGAGGAGTCAGGCTTGGGTCGAGGGAAAGGAGGGAGAAGTCCTGTGTATTCTCTGCTGAGGTGAAGCATGGACATGTCGGGCTCCCTGGGGCACTGCCCTGCTGATGGCTGGCTATTTCATCTGATCTAAACAGTAAAGACAAGTCACCAGGTTTCAGTAAGTCCTTGGTTTCTCTGGTGACTCTGTGTAAGAATTCATTATCTGATCCAGAGTGGTCCGCTTTAAAATGCAGGAAGGCATCCAAAAGGATGCATCTGGAAATCACCCTTCTCTCCTCAGCTTTTCCACAGCTTCCCTGTGTTACTGGGAGTTCATCGCTAGGGACTCTGAGGTGAGATTTCTTCCTCTGGAGGAGGAGGGTGTTCGAGCCCTTGCAGCTTGGGGTGTGAACCTGCCATGGGGGTGCGGCAGCTCTCGTAGGGTGTAGGCAGGGTGCAAGTCTCTGTCTGGTGGGACTGCTCATGTGGATAGACTGCAGTGACAGGGAGCAATGTCAAAGATGTCAAAAGACAAAAGGAGCCTGGACAGAACAGACTGATCATCTTGCTTTGCTTTTCTAACTTCAGCGACCCAGCAGTATCTGAGTATGTGCATGTTCAGGCTGGGTAGTCAAACAGGCAGTGCTGCTCTCTGGTAACTATGGAAATAGGTTTGTTTTAACCTGCAGTGCCTGGGCTCAAAGTGAGCCTTCATACCTGCTTTTCCCATGAAGCAAGTCAAAGGCCCAGCATGTGCAGTATCACAGGTATCTCTTCCGCCATTTTTGTCTCCCTGTGCTCCCAATGCTCAGACGGGAAGGAGTATGACGTGTACGTGTCCTACGCGCGCAATGCGGAGGAGGAGGAATTTGTGCTGCTGACACTGCGGGGAGTCTTGGAGAATGAGTTTGGGTACAAGCTGTGTATCTTCGACAGAGACAGCCTCCCTGGGGGAAGTGAGTATTTCACAGGGGGCTGTGCTCCATGCACCTCCTCTCTTTATTGTTCTTTGAGGTATTGGTAGTTTGGAACAGGCCTGTTCAGGTTATCTTTTGTTTTTTTCCCCTTATCACTATTAATGAACTCTTTTTGGTATCTTCTAATGTTTTTGCTTCACATGACAGTGTTGGAGATGCTCCCGGCCTCCAAAAAAGCTGTGGTGGGCAAGTGATAGTGGTTGGTTGTTTCAGTTGCTCTCTCCAGGACTGATGTGCAGGAGTGATTGATCTATCAACATGGGGAACCAGACAGCTGACCTTCATGCAAGCCCTCTAAGCTGCCTTAAAAAAAGGGGATAAAGTCAAGGCTAGAAGAAAAGAAGCAGGGAAAGTGTTACACTGGACCAGACTGGTAGCTCACGGAGGGTAATGGTGAACGCCTGTAAAAAGCAGGAGTGTCTGCTTCAGGAAGGTATGGAGAGCACCATGCCAAAATCAGTGAGAAGATAACATGCCTCCCACTCACCCTCATTAATTAGGGAGTTTGTGTCTAATATGGCATACAATTAAGCTACTATAATTAAAAGTACTTTGTTGCAGGTAGTGGGACTATCTCTTCAGTAAGATGTAGTCTTTTTTCCCTGTTTTGAGCTAAATCATGTAAGGTTCTGGACATAGTGTCTGCTTCACGGATGCAGGGAATCAAGAATAGAAGTTTTTGAAACTCCCCAGATAAGCATACCTTCACACAGGTGCCACAGCAAGGGCACAAATCTAGCCAACACTCTCTATTTCCAGTGTCCTGGGGGCTCAGTAAGCTGGGTGACCCCTGATGCCTATTAAAAGTTCAAAGTCTGAACTTCTGCCAGTGCAGACCACCCTACTTTGAATTCATGGCCTTTGGGTCAGGACCCCACTGATGACAGAACCCATGCTGAGAAAGTCCATTGGGGTCCCTTTTGGGAAGGAGAGGAGGGACTGCTGGAGTCTCAGCCCAGCTGCGTGACAAGGGGAGCAGAATCAGACCGGAGACTTATCTTTATCTCCTAGATGCTTGCTAGGATCTAGGAGCACCTCAAAGTTTGGAGATAAATGAGTAAGTTTGCCTCAGGGGACCTGGAGACAGATGCAATCCTGGTGCTGTTCCTTCTAGAGAGAGCCTGGATGACATGGCAGGGAACCTTCCAGGCTCAATTTGCTTGATGCAGTGTCAGACTCAGAGCAGGTTTGCTCTGAGCTGTTCTCACCAGATGTCCTTCTTCCTCCTGTTCCCTCTGCTGCTTCTTGCCATCCTTCCCCTTTCGCTTGGGAGGGTGTCATTTTCCTCCCACCACAGCTCTCCTGGGCTCTCTCTCCCTCACCCTTACCCCTGAATGCTCCCATTTCTGCCCCTCGTGCCAGTCGCTGTCAACCTCAAGCCAGTGCCAGTCCTATGGAGCACTGCTGGAGTGGCTTGTCACCACACTGCTGTTTGTGATGCTGCTGGGGCTTCCCTGTCGCTTCTTAGCCAGGATTTGACTAATCTTCTTGGAAAAGCACGGCAGGCCAGGAAATAGCTTTTGGCAGCTGATGTCATGCCTCCAGAGTGTGCATCTGTGTCATGGTTAGTTATGTTGTCCTTGATGAAGAAACAGTGGGGGATGGATTATCCTGCGAGTTAGCTGACAGGAACTAATCAAACATGCTTGACAGCTAAATGAAGTTGCCTGTCAGCATTATTTTATCCTCCATTGTAATTTCTGACCAGTCAAGAGTGTTCCCTTGTAAATGAAGTGTGGGAGATCCTGCAGCAGAGAGTACAAGCGCTGGGATTAACACTTACAAGGGATTTTCACATTAATTACGGGAGGGTGCCTAAGGACAGTCTACCTGCAGATATTAGAATATTAAAGAGGATCCACAGTTACCATGACATGTCCCTTCCTTGGAGGGTGTTATTTTTGGGGCACTTCACTAAAAGGCCTCAGAACAGTTTACTTTTTAAGTTCTAAAAATGCTCTAATCTGCATTCATAGATGACAGCAACAGGAACAGATGGATGAGTAACAGGAGTTAGGATGGTAGTACTACCAAAGCAAATTAACCCACGAGGATGCTCAGGGAGGGTGTAGATGTGTAGATACATATTGTGTTTGTTTGGTGTGGGGAAACTGAGGCAAGAGGAGTGAAAGGAGTATCCAGAGTCATTCTGGACATCTGCCAGAGGAGGATGTAAGCATAGGCATTCAAGCTTCCCAATACCTCTTCAGGCTGAGTTTTGCCCTTGAGGTCATGTGTTGCGCAGCTGCCAATTTCCCTGCTTTGCTCCAGAAAGCCTCTTTTCACCCCTCTTTATGAGATCAGCAACCCTCTTGGCCACAAGGCATCCTCATAGCATTGCGTGGTGTCACTGACATGTGGTACCATGCCTTTTAGATGTAGCTCTCTTGGGCATCTCCGCATAGCGCAGGGAGGAGGAAATGCATCTCCAGGGAGTCTGAGGCTGGGAGTAGAAGATGTCACTGTGTGGGGAAGTGGGTACAGCCATGGTGTAGGAGGTCCTACCTGGAGTCACTTGCAGGGTTGGGAAGCACCAGTGTAGTCTCTAGAGAGGGCCTCCAGGGGGTTTTACTGTCCCCTTCAAGAGACACCTGGTGTCACACTAGCAGCTCAGCAGCATGTCCTTGGGCATCACTAACAACCTCAATGTTTCTTTCTCCCAGTTGTCACAGACGAAACCCTGAGCTTCATCCAGAAAAGCCGACGTCTGCTTGTTGTCCTGAGTCCCAACTACGTCTTGCAGGGGACACAGGCCCTGCTGGAGCTCAAAGCTGGTCTAGAGAATATGGCCTCCAAGGGCAACATCAAAGTCATTCTAGTGCAGTACAAAGCCATCAAGAAGAGCAAAGTGAAGGAGCTGAAGCGGGCGCAGGCAGCCTTGACTGTCATTAAATGGAAAGGCGAGAAATCCAAGTACCCAAAGGGCAGGTTCTGGAAGCAGCTGCAGGTGGAAATTCCAGTGAAAAAAATCAGAAGGAGTTTGAGCCTTGATGGGTTGATGCATATCCCTGAAAAATGTTTGACGCAATCAGAAAACAAACCAAAACAAACCCATGAGTTATACCAGGGAGTGGGAAGGAGCTCAGGGTTTTTTCCATGAAGGACCGTGTCCCAACATTTTTGGAAGATGGTCATGTTTTCTATGCAGTTTTGTATTGCTCTGGCAGTAGAGGGACCAAAGATGTAAACATGTCCTCTCTGCAAATGTATATTCTTGTTATCAACCACACAAGCCCTGGGCTTAAGGTCTAAATTTGAGCTATACAGGTGTGATGCATCCAGCACCTTGTGATGGTGTGGTATTTGTATAGGCCAGTACTCTGAGATCCAGTTCCTATGGGACCTTCATTAGCATCCAGGACAGAGCTCCTTTCCTCTCCTAAGTGACTTCACTCCTTTATGTTCCTTGGTCCCTGTTACAGGGGCCAAGGAACAGTTTGAAAGGTGGCTCCAGCTCTATAGTCTGAATCACTGTGGGATCACAGACTTCTGCTTTAGTGGGGGGAGCATAGACTCTTGAGGCTCCTCATCATTGTTCCCCACATTTCTGTTGAAGGTGCATACAGATAGTTTGGCAATGGGGAATGGCTTTTACAAAACATTAAACTCCCCCCCCCCAACACTCTGCTAGGTAATATTTGTATTGTAGCACTTCTAGTAACGAGTGGTCAGTTTCTGGGACTCTGGTCTCATGAGTACACCAGATCATTCAGAACTGTAATGCTTGTAATCCAGGGGAAATCTCTCATTAGTACAGGCCATGGAGCATATCTGAGAGATGTTTCTTGTAGAGTAAACTCAGGGACTTCACAAGCACTACAAGGAACTCCAGCATACTACTGAACCTGCCTACTGCCTCTGCCAATGGCTGGGGGACAGCATTATGCAAGGTACTGCCAAGGCCTCTGGGATGACACTGGATATATATCCAACTCACCAGGAGGCCCTACAAACTTATTTGAACTTACTAAAAGCTACTAATTCTGTCCAGCTGGGTAAGACTATGAGGACAGGCTTAGAGAGCTGGGATTGTTCAGCCTGGAGAAGAGAAGGCTTCAGGGAGACCTTATTGTGGCCTTTCAATACTCAAAGGGGGCTTATAAGAAAAATAGGGACAGACTTTTTAGTAGGGCCTGGTGCAACAGGACAAGAGGTAACAGTTTTAAACTAAAAGGGGGTAGATTCAGACCATATTTAAGGAAGACATTTATTACAACGAGGGTGGTAAAATGCTGGCACAGGTTGACCAGAGAGGTGCTGGATGCCCCGTTCCTGGAAAGAGTCACAGTCAGGTTGGACAGGGCTATGAGCAGCCTGATCGAGTTGAAGATGTCTCTGCTTATTGCAGGGGGATTGGACTAGATGGCCTTTACAGGTCCTTTCCAACCCAAACTATTCTATGATTCTTTGAAGAATCTGTCTTCTGTGCCTGTTTGTGAACCATCACCATTCCTAATTCAGGACTCAGGTTTAAACTGGCTTTACAGAGCAAGTCTCCCCCTATCTTGTTTCCAGCCCAGAGTTGCAGAACAGAGGCTGTATCTCTGTAACCTTTGCACAAAATGGAAACGCAAAAAACCACTGTGTACCAGTCCTTGCTTCAGTGGGAGGCAGCAGGAGAGGACCTGGTGAGCTAACCCCCAGCACACAGGCTTTTAAGACAGAAGAGGGGTGTGTCCCTTTCCTTGTAGGACAGACAAAAGCACAGTGGGACCCTGGCATTGACTGGTGCTATGGTTCACAATGTTTTCAAATAAAACTGCAAACTGGGGGTGTCTCCATACTCCTGTAGCTCCCAGTGCAAGGACCTGCCCACTTTCAGTATTATGCACACCAAGTGCATGCTTATTTTTTATTGATAATGGTTGATGCTGAGTCACCTTTGACTCGTATTCACTCTGGTGTTCAGGGGGTGAAGCATATGCATTCATAATGGCATTAAAAACCACTACAATTTGGTGTCTATGCACTACTCACCCAGCTGAGAAGGTTTACGGGCATCCCAATAAGAAGCTTAGCCTTAAAGATGCGGGACTGAATCCTGGCATCAGGGAAACCCCTTGCCCTTAGCATTTTATGATTAATAATGTTATTCCAGGGCTGTGGGGAGCTCTGCCCTTGGTCAGGTACTGTATGCCATGGTTTAGGAATGGTATTTCCCAATTTAATGCTCCCACTGAAACCATGTGCCACTTACTCCTCTTCCCTTCCCCTCCTCCTCCCCCCGCAGCAGGCTGGAGAGAATTGGAGGCACAAAAGGTAAAGATCAGAGGCTGAAATAAGAGCAATTTATTGGAAATAACACGGAGATAAGAAAACAAACAGTAGCAGCAACAATACTAATGACAGAGGGTACAAGAAATTAATGATTTGCATGGAACCCCCCTGACAATAGACAATACCTGACCGTTCCCTCCCACCAACCCAGAAGGGACCCCTTCTCCATGAAAGATACTCCTTTCCCCTGGCAGTGATGTGAGGTGATATAAAATAACCTCCAGATCCTGGCCATGCCCCTTCCTGGCTACTGCAGAAATTAACCCTGTCCTGGCTGGAACCAGGATGCTACAAATGTGAAACAAATAGAGCTGCTTTTTTAACTTCCTCTTCATCCTCCCCACCCCAAGTAAGCTTTGCTTTAAGGAGATAAAATTGCAGTCAGCTTCACTGGAGGCAGTGGAACTTCTCATCTGCTCCTAGGTGCTTAAAAGCTTTATTATGAGCTTTTCTACTGTAGTTGTCTGAGGAGGGACATTTATAAGAGATAGTACCCAAAACCATGCTCAGCTTTGTGAACCCATTGCAACTGTGTCATTTTGCCCAGCTTCACCTTTTTGTTTGTGTTTTAAGCATCTCTGTAACCAACTGCCAGATCTGCAGGCAGAGGGGAAGCCCCTGAGGCCAAAGCAGAGCTGTGTTAGATTCCTAGATGATTTTTAAAAAGTTGACTCCAAAATATGCATAGATTGAATTGACATCCCAGACCTCACAACACCACATCTCACTTTGGCTGAGTTACCAAGAGAACTTCTGCTGATGTTTCAGTAAGTCTGATTATTTTAGAAATTTAAATTCATCTCATATATTTTGCTGATTTTATTCAAAGAGTTTTCCAAATAATTAATAGACCTGAACTTTCTCTGGCACCATTGCACTGGCCTTTGGATACATCTCCGGCACCACTGCAGTGGCCTTTGGTGCCATTGCAACCTGAGAACAGGATTACTGAGAGACATCAGCAGAGCACCCACAAGGTGAAAGGTGTGACGGTCTGGAAGGGACCTGAGAGGTCCAGAGGGAGCAGTGTGGAAGGAATAGCGCTGGAGCAGGTTCCACTCCCCCAGAGCTTTACCCCTGGCTTTGCTGGGATCTGTCAGGCCAGGGGTAAAGCCCAGTCTCAGCTATAATGCAGATCTGCAAACACCTCAGATCCACCTGCCATTTCATTCTAAGCTCCTTGTGGTTTCCGTTGTGGGATTCTGTCACAGCCCATGTCTGAATCAGTTGATTCATTTGAGTTTCTGTGCTCTAACCTAATATTTATGCAATATGCGCCTTATGCAAAGTTCCTCATTGGTACTTCATGGGGAAACAGTGTGGCACGAATTGGAAAAAATATCTTCCCTCCCTGTGCTGTTTGATGTTGTACAGCTGTTCCAGAGTTGTTTTCCCTTCTCTTTTCTGCATGTTTTTGCCTTTGTGTGATTTGGTCTGTGAAGTGTCAGTATTATTTTATTTTGCTTTTCAATAAAACATTTTCACTTTTGCATTTCCGTCCTTGTGCATTTCTCATAAGTACCATCTTCCTCCCCATTATGTCTGCAAAATGCCGTTTAAGAAAGATAATTGTGTAGTCCAAGCATCAAGATCACTTGGGACACCTCCTTGGAGGGGGACATTTTCCTGGCTGTTTCATGTTGTGCCTGCAGAGGCACCTGGGCTACCAGGGCCATGCAAGCAAAAACAGAATGACACAGAGCACTGAGGTGTCTCACAGCAGTGGACACACACACAGAAAATCCCTGATCTGAAGAGTGCCTGGCAATCACAAGACAGAAAGATGGAAAGGAAACATTATCTCTTTGCTTTAGAGATCAAGTCAGAATGTTGAACAGAAATCTTGGAAATCTGCCCAAACCACAAAAATGAAACTCACTCTTAGGCTACTTTGCCCGTCACCTTCCAGGCAGTTTGGTAGAAAAGTTTCAGTCAGCTTCATATTTTCTCATCCAAGCCACTTTCTTGTCTATTTCCCTTCTTTGCCTGTTAGCAGGTAAGTTGAAAGAGAGCCTAGCACTTCCAGACCACTAGCAAAATGAATACTTGTGACAATCTATGGATTTGGGGTCTATGGGTATGGGACCTAGGACCTATGGGACCTAGTTATAATCCTCTGTTATAATCATCTGGGGTGCATTAGGGAAGACACAAGTAAACCATTGAAAATATTCTGTAACCATTTAGTAAAGGTGGAAGTTTTTTAGTGTAAAGCGGATAACTAAGTGTATCAAATCCCCAAACTCCTGCAGTGTTATTGCTGCCTGTCCTATCCCGTGCTGTTGGTGTCACTATGACCTGCACACTGTGAAGTGGCCACTCAGGATTTTTCATGAGCTAGGTTAACATTGTAAACTGAATATCCCAGGGTGTCCTGGTCAGACAAGTCTAAATGCATCCCATTCTCAGAAATAAAATCTATCTTTGGGAATTTGAGCGTCTTCCCTGCCAAAAAGTGTTGAGTCTCAAAAAGTGTTGCAAATTCAAAATTGATAAAAGAAAACCAGCACTGTCACGTCAATCAAAACATTTCAGTTCAACAGCATCAGAGTCATTCATGTTAATTGAGCCTGGACTTTTTGAGCAGGCGGGTAAAATAGGTGACCTCCCAGGGACTGCTCCTGCCTAAATTTCACCATGGTTCTGTGATTCCAGTTTCAAAAAGAAAGACCTTTCAAACCAGCAAAAGATCTTTTTCTTTTACAAAATTTGAAGCCTGGCTGTTTTCAAAATAGATCGCAATCAGTTGCAGAAAGGTTTGAATGAGGTCTGGACTCAGTAAATTGGACATTGCTGCCAATTCTTTGTGCCTTTGAAATAGGGTGTTAAGAACATGTCACAGCGTTAAGTGACAATTCTGACAGAACTGACTTTGTCATCTACTTTTGGTTTCAACAAATCAGTGTTTTCCTGGGTGTGTTGGGGGGGAAAGTCCCCCCAAACCTTGTATACCAGAAAAAAAACACCCTCAAAATAATTTTATTTTAATTCCAGTATTATGTTAAAGAACCAAATAGTACTTTACTTGCTCCATTAGGATATTACTGTGTCATCATTTTTCCTGTCCCATGTTCTTGGTCTCCAAATAATCTAGTGATAATGAGTTTTACAGCTACTCATATATATTTGAAAAGTATTTCTCTGTACAATATTAAAATAAGGTTCATCCAGAGGCAACATGGTGGACTTTCTGCTGTGAGATTAGAGACAGCCAAGTGCTGGAAGAATAAGAGGCATTGCCATTGCAGGGAAGGAACTGTATTTATATAAAAGACCAGTGTTCTACTGGCAGGGAGAGAGGGAAGTCTCCAGACTGAGGAATGAAGGTTTCAGCAGTGTGACAGGGATCTTCTTCCCAGAACAGATCTTTGCAAGATGTTCTTACAGGCAGGTTTTTCTCTCTGAATGTGCGAGAGCTCTTACTCAAATGATCCCTGTCCTGCCTGAACACCAATTTGTCCTTGGGTCCCCCCCTCATCTCAGGCACCAGCACTCAGTCAGTGTATGGTTTTTTTAGAGTTTTTACAGTTCTCTTAATCAGCTTGGGTTAATTTGCTGAGTGCCTGAGCCCTATAATTCCCATTGTTTCTGCTGCCCACCCATTAGCCATGACACCTTCAATATGCTTACTGCATCCCAAGCCACAGGTAGAAGTCCAAGGACATCCTTCAGGCTTGCTGCTTTTCAACATTCATAATAAAAGAGATGCTGCCCTTGCCTGGCACCATTCCAACTAAGCATCTTGCTGAGCTTTACAGCTTGCAATGAATCGCAAGAAACGTTTTGAAGGATGGTATTTACACCCCACATGATGGCTAGGGGAACTGATGGAAAGGT